TTAACTGATATCAGCTCATTTTGATTGACAAAGTTCAACATGGCACGTCTGTCACTTCAAGCAAAAATTGAAATTGTTTTAATTGTTGGTGAAAGGGTGAGGTCTTATCGTGAAGCAGCCGTTGAATTTAATAGAAGACACCCGCTATATTATAAAGGGAAACTGTTGAAAGGTAGGTTTACTATAACGTTTACTTGAACTATACAATGATTTGCAGGAAAAATAAAAACAATAGTATACAGGGGGACACATTTTCACATATTCACATTTGATCTAACTTTTCCTATCGCACCTCAGAGCATGTCACAATTTTTTTTAAATTGATCAAATGTTCTGCATGATGAGATGTTCCATGATGCACAGATTTCATCAAAGTAAAATACAATATGATCTGAAGCTCATAGTTTGTAAGCTGAAAATTATTTGAGTTGAAAACGAGCCACCCCGAATTAACTTCTGTAAAATCTGTAATCTAGGTTTCATAGGTGTTTTTGTGAAGTATACTTCAAACAAGTCTCAGGAATCACACGTTAAAAGGTAAGAACTCGTTAGTCGTTAGCTCGCACAAGTTTCTCAACTTCTGAGAGTTGTCTTTAGAATGGGGGCGACAGCTGATTAACGCAAAAACAGATTTTAAACAGGATGTAGTGCTAGAGCTGCTGCCCGTATGTTCAATGATATTCATCCAGGAAGAAACGTGCGACACAAATACGTTTCGGAATTATTGAACAAATTTATGGAAACTGGGTCTGTTAACAATGAAAAGCATAACCGTTCAGGAGCTGTCAACGATGTAGTTATTTGTACTGCAGTTTTAGGGCACGTTGGACTAATGGAAAATTTGCAATCTATTACTAAACTATCTCGAGAATCAGGAATCAGTCGTAAAAATGTTTTCAGGGTCCTTCATAAGTACAAATTTCATCCATATGAGATTAGACTAGTTCATGAATTGAACGAAGATGATTTCGATAGACGTATCGAGTTTTGTGAAAGTCTCACTGAACGGATCAACAGAATTTCTTGTATAAAATTTGGTTTTCGGATGAGTGTACTTCAGTTTGAATGGAGAGGTGAATTGGCAAAACTGTCAATATTGAAGTGATACAAATCCTCATGTATACCGTCAAGTTCATACCCAACGACCTCAAAGAGTGAATGTTTGTTCAAGAGTTTAAGATGACCACATCATAGGACCTGTTTTATCGATGATAATTCGACTAGTGATAAATATTTAGATATGTTGGAGAATCGACTAGTACCGTGCATCAATAGGGCAATTGAGGAGGATATAAATTCATTCGAAAACGAAATTGTTTTTCAGCAGGATCGTGCAGCTCCTCATTATGCAGCTCCAGTGCGACAATTTTTGGATGATCATTTTCCTGGTCGTTGGATTGGCAGAAGAGGTCCTACAGAATGGCCAGCAACTATTGTTGACGTGTTTCTGTATTTTTCCTGAGAATCATTGTACCAAAAAATATCCAGGGTGGCTCGTTTTTAATGAAATGCATTGTTTATTAGTGCCATAGGCGTACTGCATTCAAATCTTTCAATCTCAACGAATTGAATAAATGAATATACAAAACTTATTCACGGAAAATCTCATTCATAACAAACAAAATAACAACGACAGTAGTAATCAAGACATATTCCAACAAATAAGTATTCCGTTGAAGAGTATTGAAAAAACATTGTTTTTTTAAAGGCAGTATGAAAAGATATTCCTTTGAATTGTACCCTCAACAGATACACTGCACCCATCAATAGGACCGACTTGGCTTTTTCCATAGGAAGAAAATATTATATTATTTTCTGTTGGGAGTTTGGAAGCCATGGTAACGGGATTAGTCCTAATCTCAGTCTCAGTCTGAGTCATATTAATTAGTTTACTTCGAGAGCGCGTTACTAGAGCGCGAAACTAGTTTTTCGGGATTCGTGAAGCGTCCGAAACTGTCAGAATTGAATATAAATGAAAAAACAATTGTTATGAATGTTTATAATTCCTCAAGAATACAAATATCCGTAGAAATAAAAAGTAAGGAGGAAGTAGCCAAAATGAGCGAGTATGACCGGTGCCAATAGATCGATAATTTTTAGAATTCTTAACGAATTCAGGGAAAACAACAGCTTTTTGGAGCTTAAAGTATCCACTGGCTTGACGAAGAAGTCAAGAATTCTATTGGAAGAACAGTACACTCTTTTTATATAAAGGCGAAATACCTAAATTGAATGAAGTTTTTTGTCATTTATTCATGAAGACAGTTTTTTTTCCTGATATATGAAGAACTAAATTATGGAAGATATACAAGAGTTGAACTTCACTTTCGGAAAACAAGATAGAAAGAGCATGTAAGGTCCTACAGAATGGCCAGCAACTATTGTTGACGTGTTTCTGTATTTTTCCTGAGAATCATTGTACCAAAAAATATCCAGGGTGGCTCGTTTTTAATGAAATGCATTGTTTATTAGTGCCATAGGCGTACTGCATTCAAATCTTTCAATCTCAACGAATTGAATAAATGAATATACAAAACTTATTCACGGAAAATCTCATTCATAACAAACAAAATAACAACGACAGTAGTAATCAAGACATATTCCAACAAATAAGTATTCCGTTGAAGAGTATTGAAAAAACATTGTTTTTTTAAAGGCAGTATGAAAAGATATTCCTTTGAATTGTACCCTCAACAGATACACTGCACCCATCAATAGGACCGACTTGGCTTTTTCCATAGGAAGAAAATATTATATTATTTTCTGTTGGGAGTTTGGAAGCCATGGTAACGGGATTAGTCCTAATCTCAGTCTCAGTCTGAGTCATATTAATTAGTTTACTTCGAGAGCGCGTTACTAGAGCGCGAAACTAGTTTTTCGGGATTCGTGAAGCGTCCGAAACTGTCAGAATTGAATATAAATGAAAAAACAATTGTTATGAATGTTTATAATTCCTCAAGAATACAAATATCCGTAGAAATAAAAAGTAAGGAGGAAGTAGCCAAAATGCGCGAGTATGACCGGTGCCAATAGATCGATAATTTTTAGAATTCTTAACGAATTCAGGGAAAACAACAGCTTTTTGGAGCTTAAAGTATCCACTGGCTTGACGAAGAAGTCAAGAATTCTATTGGAAGAACAGTACACTCTTTTTATATAAAGGCGAAATACCTAAATTGAATGAAGTTTTTTGTCATTTATTCATGAAGACAGTTTTTTTTCCTGATATATGAAGAACTAAATTATGGAAGATATACAAGAGTTGAACTTCACTTTCGGAAAACAAGATAGAAAGAGCATGTTAATAGAAAAATCAGAAATTGTAGAATGGAGAAGAAACTATTTTAGAGAAATTGAGAAAGCCAGAATACTGGGTAAATCTATTTTTTATTTGGATGAAACATGTGTCAATGAGGATCACACCGTCTCGAAGGTTTGGCAAGAACAGAACATCAAAACCCTGCAGTGTGTCTCTCAAAACAGATACATTTTTTTATTTCTTGAGAATGGCTTCAAAGTCGAAACCGAAACGTCGAACAATGCACGGTTCAACCCGAAATTTAAATATTCGAATTTCTAACTGTGGAAACCTTTTCTATTTGTATACTTATCTGGTGACGTTTCCAAGACTCTATTCAGCTTCATTATTAAACCTACGATCAATTTTATGTTTTCAGTGTCAATAATAATAATTGTATCAGATTAATTTACATAAAAAGATGAATTATAACTACAAATCATTATGTTTTGATTTAAATAGGTTAGATAAAGGAATGGATTGTCATTAAAACGTCACCGGATGATACATATTTATTTTTATATGCAAAATTTAAGTTGTAGTGTTTGGCGTTCTCAAGGGGCCTATCGGGAAGCAATATCTCAGTGACTTTGTGGATCCAGTGCCAATTGCTTGAGACGACAAGGTTGCTTTCTTTGATCTCAGACAGTACTGAACGTACTTTAGGAATATCATGATGTCTTTTTCAAAAGAATACTTCATAATGTTGAGAGAAATGGAGTTTCCAGTTTTCTCTTCTTCTGAGTCTAGTGGTTTAGTTTTTTCATAGTTCGGTATTCGTATTCTTTCGAACCTGATTTCTGAATTAGATTTGGAAACAACATTTTTCAATAAATAACGAAAAAACTTTTTTGAATGATGTATCACGAGCTCCTGATGAATTAATTTCCTTTGTGCCCTTTGAATTCATTCGACTCAGATTTATTATTCTTTGCAACTTCTGTGAGGTTGGTTATGAAGTTTTGTCCGATTCTATTAGTCTACTCAACAATAATTTATTGAAATCTAAAGCAAATGAACTTCAAAACGTTCAAGCCAGTCTCTATATACCTACACAGTAGGTTTAATGGACTGACGCCTATCAAAAAACAACACCCACTGACTAATAGGAAAATAATTTATTGGAAATAAACATTTCAATCAATGCACTTTTGCCAACGTAACAGAAGACGATTAACTCCGTTAGCATAGAAATTGCGTCCTCTTGATTCGATGAAGTCGACGAAGGCTGTTATTTCCTGGTCCTGATTTGCGAAGGTTCTACCGGTGGGATAGTTATCTAAGTGCTTGAAAAAATGGTAGTCGGTTGACAAAAGGTTTGGGGAGTATAATGGGTAAGGCTGATCTTCGTTTAATTTTCGAACGGTGATTTGGGAAACGGGCGGATGGGTGTTGTCGCGGAGCAAGATCTCTTCTATCACAGTTATCTAACATTCCTGGTAAAAAAAATCAGATATATTTTAACGAATTGTAATATCAGCCTAAAGATGAAATAGAAACGTTTAAATGTGAAGTTGATCACTAATCCTAACTTTCGACTATTTGAAACATATCACAACTCCTATCAGGATAATTTTACTGATAGACCGACACCTAAAGTTTTACATTACGGAATTCAGCAAATTCAATAATATTTTATATGGAAAACAGCGTTAGAAGCGTGTATCGATTTCAATTTAAAGTAAACATCTCTCAAATCACTTTACATTTGCCTGCAATCGGCGACGACGATTTTCTTTGAAGTCTTCTCGGACTGGGATCCCAGAGCCTCAATTTTCCTGACTATGTCCGTGCCCTCTACGACGGCACCAAAGACAATGTGTTTGTTGTCCAACCAAGAGGTTTTGATGATGGTGATGAAGAAATGATTGAGATCCATTGGTGTATTGCGCATGGACATGACTCCGGGTCCGGTGTGTTTCGGGGTAGAGTTTTCGTCCGCGTATTTATTGTCATGGATGGACTTTCCTCCGGTACCTTGGTGGTTGATGAAGTCACCGCCTTGGCACATAAAGTTGGGGATGACTTGGTGGAAGGTGGATCCCTTGTGTCCAAATCAATTCAATAATATTTTATATGGAAAACAGCGTTAGAAGGGTGTATCGATTTCAATTTGAAGTAAACATCTCTCAAATTGCTTTATAATTGCCCGCAATTGGCGACGACCATTTTCTTTGAAGTCTTCCAGACTGGGATCCCAGAGCCTCAATTTTCCTGACTATGTCCATGCCCTCTACGACGGCACCAAAGACAATGTGTTTGTTGTCCAACCAAGAGGTTTTGACGGTGGTGATGAAGAATTGATTGAGATCCGTTGGTTTCAGACATTGCGCATGGACATGACTCCGGGTCCGGTGTGTTTCGGAGTAGAGTTTTCGTCCTCGTATTTATTGTCATGGATGGACTTTCCTCCGGTACCTTGGTGGTTGATGAAGTCACCGCCTTGGCACATGAAGTTGGGGATGACTTGGTGGAAGGTGGATCCCTTGTGTCCAAATCAATTCAATAATATTTTATATGGGAGACAGCGTTAGAAGGGTGTATCGATTTCAATTTGAAGTAAACATCTCTCAAATTACTTTATAATTTCCCGCAATTGGCGACGACGATTTTCTTTGAAGTCTTCCTGGACTGGGATCCCAGAGCCTCAATTTTCCTGACTATGTCCATACCCTCTACGACGGCACCAAAGACAATGTGCTTGTTGTCCAACCAAGAGGTTTTGACGGTGGGGATGAAGAATTGATTGAGATCCGTTGGTGTCAGACATTACGCATGGACATGACTCCGGGTCCGGTGTGTTTCGAGGTAGATTTTTCGTCCTCGTATTCATTGTCATGGATGGACTTCCCTCCGGTACCTTTGTGGTTGATGAAGTCACCGCCTTGGCAAATGAAGTTGGGGATGACTTGGTGGAAGGTGGATCCCTTGTGTCCAAATCCGTTCTCGCCTGTGCATAGTGCACGGAAGTTGTCAGCCGTTTTTGGTACAATATCGTTCCCGAGTTCTATAATAATCCTTCCGATGGGCTGATTATCCTCAGTCATATCAAAAAACACCCTTGGCAAAATCATTCTGTCTCAGAAATTTCTGACGAATGAGGTAGTATTACTGATCTTGGCGAGCTGCAAGCCTGGAGTTCCACTGGCGAATGCGCTTTGAGAACCAGCTTCACAGGAAAGGACAAAGAACGACATTTCTGTTGACCAATGCCTGCTGCTGCTGACGCAATTCAGGACTCTTCTGTGATTTGGTCCGGTTGCAGAAATTAATAGTGAATCAGAACAGACGCTGACCCGCATAGCAGTATGCATGGTTTTTTTGGTGATTTTATGCTTTTGGGAAGTGCCTGGGTGGTTCATCGGTGTCCAACCACTGTCCTGCACGTCTACTGTTGTCGTAAAGGCTCTACGTGACGATCTGATATAAATAAAGGTCGTTTTGGCTCCTCAAAGGCAAAGATGAACAATCTTAGAAACGTGGCAATATCTATCGATGGTTCGAATCGTGGGGCACCCACTTTTGGAGCTTGTCGACGTTTTCAATAAGTTTTAAATGACCAAAAACCACAGGGGAGCTGACGCCCAGATTTTCCGTTATCCCACGCACCAATTGTGATGAGTTAGTCTCCACCAGGATCCTGGATTACTGTAGGTCAACCACTTCGGGGCTCATCTTCGAAGCTAAAATCTCCGGAACGAAATTTCGCTAACCAAGGTCGAACAGTGCGATCAACATTATCATTACCAAATGCCTGTTTAATTTTTCGGGCTGTTTCGTTAGCGTTTTGCTTCAATTTGATTTCGAAGAGAAAAGTTGGCCGTAAATCGCCCAACATCANTCCCAGTTTCCAAATTATTACACATAGAGTTGAACAAGAAAAATTGAAAAATTTGCAAATCAAGCAACCTGACGATTACTTTGGCCACATTGATTATGTGAATCAGTACATTTAATGTAGTTTATGGGTAAAGTAGAATGTGAAAACAATTCTGGTTCGCATCTGACTATAATTTGTAACAACAAGATGTCAAAAATTGATTACAAGAGTTACGTATGCTGAAACTAATCTAAAAAAAAATTACTTTCGTATACATGTTCATAACTGTCCTGTTCATGTATTGCGTTATTAGAATACCATTTGTTTTCGTCTATTATCTTGTTTCGGTTTTACTTCAAGCATTTTTCTTTTTTTTTCAGGAGAATACTTTGTAGTCGGAGTCGACATCGAACAATACGACAACAAAAACCCAACGAAGTATCTTCAGGGTCTTTTGAGAGACGATGCAGACCCAATTGCAAAGAAAGCTTATAGAAGTTACCTAGGAGTGGTATCTTCGAGTCCTGTTGGTTTCGAAAACTTCACAAGTCTAGTCAATTTCTACATGGAAAAGGAACCATTCAAGTTTCCCAACCCCCTCACCATTCTAGGTGGTGTAAAACGGGTAAATATAAAGAAAATACTTCAGGTAAGGCATTTGTTACAAATTTCGAAATATTTCTTGTTCTACGATTTCAACTCTTGGAATCTTTGGCTTTTGCTATTTTTTAATATTTTATCAAACTTGCCTTGCCTAACTACCATTTTCATACCCTCTTTAATGATATTTTTTAAATTGTTTCAATCTGATGCAGATGCAATGGAAAGTACTGGAGAAAGAGTTTCTTTCAATGTTTCCAACCATAGATGACAGCTTATCATTTGTTTTTTCGGACCGTATACATACTATTGAATATGAAACTTCTGATCGACCTGGTGACACTACATTTCAAATTGATATAGGACCTTTCATCAGGTTGTTTAAAAAGTTTTGTCCGTTTTTATGAGTTCACTTCAAACTGTAATATCTCGTTAATTACTCATTCAATTCAATCGAAATTAGCGTCATTTGAATCAGTACACTTTTGCCAACGTAAAACGAATCGATTGATATCGTCAGAATACAAATTGGGTGCTCGGGATTCGATAAAGTCGATGAAGACGGTTTTTGCTTGGTCCCGATTGACGAAGGTTCTATCGGTGAAAAAATTATCGGAATGCTTGAAAAGATACAACTTCGACGCTTATATCGTTTAATTTTCGGAAGGTGATTTGTGGAACGTGTAGACGGGCGTTGTCGTGGAGCAGGATCGGACCTCCTCAATCGACCAGTGCCGGCTACTGAATTTTCGATACATTTTGTTGATTTCCTCACGATAGGACTATGACGTGATTGTTTGACCCAGTTACAGAAAGTTATAGAGAGTCACAGCAGCTGTCAAGGGCGTCGCCAACGGGGGGCAGGAGGGGGGCAGTTGCCCCCCTAGAGATCAAATGTAGCTAGCTGCAAAGCGAGCAATTGACTTCCTTACCTATTATATTACTGGAGTTTTTTCCCAATACCAAATCGTCATTTTTAACACCTCGACACGTGTTTCGATCACCAAGTGATCATATTCAAAGAGGAAGAATAAAACTTGAAACTAATGCGAGCTAACCCTATTTATGCTATCTAGGTAACCCATACAGGTAAACCATCCAGGCGTACCAACCATACAGGTACACCAACCTAAATTAACTGTAAAAATTTTGCCTCATCTATTCTACAATATATGGTTATATAAAACAATTTTCAGCTATATAAAAATTAATTTCACAATATTGCCTATCCAAATTTATTTTTGCAATGTGTCCTTATGTAGTAATCAGTAAACCCAACAACATTATTTCATTTTATTTTAACAAGCTATATATGCTCATATATTTGTTTAAAAAATCCATTTTTCTGTCAATCAGCTGTCGCCCCTCATACGAACCACAACTCTCAGAAGTTGAGAAACTTGTGCAAGCTAAGGACTAACGAGGTTTTACCTTTTAACGTGTGATTCCTATCACTTCTATCGTAGACAGTATTGAAATATTCAGAATAACATTAAGATGTTGACATCAGTTTTTTAAATCGCCGCCATTATCATCACGACTATATCAGATTTGCCATTAAACAGTTTAAAAATATATAGGTAGGAGGTAGGTATGGTGTGTGTGTGTTGTGTGCATTGAATTTCTTTCTACGACAACCGTTCACCAGCATTTACGTTAGTTTTGTATAATTTGTATGCGGCATACCTAAACTAGTAGTTGTTCTTACGAACATACAATTTTAATTGGTTTTGTGGACAATGCCATCTGTGGGTGTTCATAAGAAACACCTACAGCCTACAGTTTGATAAATCGACTACAATCCTTGTAAAACACAGGAAGTTCAAGAAATATTTGTCGGATACATTGAGCTAAAAGATTAAGATGCGAAATCGATTGCACATAGTATAGATGAGTTTTTGACAAAAGAAGATCTGAATATGAATAAATGATGCGTTGGTTTTGGTTTTGATGTCAACGATGTTCAACGATTTCAGGAAAAGACGGAGGGGTACAAGCGATCTTACCCAACAAGTACACCAAAGCCCTCTACTTTCATTGCTCGTCCCACAAACTCAATCCAGTTATCAATGATCTGAATTCACTTCCTGAAATTAGAAATGCCATGGGAACCACCAAAGATACTATAAACATTTTTCGGGAATCAGTTTTGAGGAGGCAGTTGATACCCTTATATTTCCAGACTTTGCGAGACAAGATGGAGTGAAAAACACAAAACCATCAGAGTTTTTAAAGAAAATATTCCAATAATCCTGGAAGCCTTACAAACATTATCTCCGGAAGGAAATAGTGCAACTCGGAAAAGTGCCTTCCAACTGCATGCGGCTACTTCCAGAATTTCTTACATTCTCGGTATTATGTTGGTAGCCAAATACTCGGCTTTGATGAAACCCGTTGTCAAAGTACTCCAATCTGTAGCTTTGGACGTGGTCAAAGCCACAGAACACGTTAAAAGGATTTTACTTTTAATTAAAAACTACCGTGAAAATCTGGAAAAAGTGACAGACAAAATTATAAAGTAAGCTACTGCTGTTGCGGAGAAAGTCGGACTGGAGGAGGACATTGAATCAATGCCGCTTATTACGAGAAAA